GTTGGCAACCTTAGTGTGTTCCCAGGAGTGGGAACGTCTGTTTTCCCCGGGCTCAGGTAGTATTGGCACACTTTGTGCTGCTGCTACTTGCCCTAGAAAACAGCTATGCCACGTGCGATCTAGCATGCAGCACATTATTCTGGGTGGGGTAGGGAAGGCTGAGCTGGCACCTGGGCTGGCCCCAGCAGCTTTACCTGGGGTCCTGGGAGGCCTCTGGGAGCTGCAACCATGGCACTTCTGAAGCAGGGAGCCTAGCTAGCAGCCAGAGCATGGCTCCGCTGGCTAAGCTCTGGGTAGGCTGCTGCCACATGTGTCACCCTGCTTATTTTTAGGCGTGGGGGTGGCGGGGGTTCATCCTCAGGATCTCCTGCAGTCATACCATCCCCCTGCAATGCAAAGTAGCAGCTCAGGAAACACTTGCATGTATGGCATGCAGCGCCTCAAGCAGGTCTCTGGCACTGCATACCACATGTCCACACTCATCTGGATGCACCCCGTGAAGCCAAGTTGAATATAGCATGGGTATGATTTGGAGCTGTTACAGTCTGATCTGACTTAAGTCACAGGTTCTGAAAAGTTTCATTACCATTGGATTCACACTTTGCAGAGGTGACACAGCTTGCATGAGCATGGAGAGTGAAGTATTCACCTTCTCTGAGGTCCTTTCAGAACAAGAATGAAACGCTTCGACTTGGCGATATGGCAAAGCTTGCATTGTCATTAAGTGGCTCACCTAGGAAAAGAAAAATGGCACTTAAGCTTTTATAAGCACTCATTTCCCTAAAACTATCTTTAACAAAAAAAGACAAAATGTTCTCAAAAGAGTTAAATTAGAACAAATCTTAAATATTTTTGTTCCCCAACATATCTCAGTATTGACCATTGTGATTAAAATATAAAAACATTCTAATTATTATTAGGGGTGTACTGATAGCCAATTTTTAGGAAGGCGTATTGGTCAATACCAATCCAATTTCTGATACGCAGCCCAGCAGCTTGAAGAGTAGTGTTCAGCTGATAAGTCTGTTGTGGTGGAAGGGAAGGAGGGAGGGAAGGGGTGTGAGAGGGCAGATAGAGGCCCCTGCAGTGAGGGAGGGATTGGGGCTGGCGCAGGCACTGCCGGGCGGGGTACAGGATGGAGCTGCGGCTTATCCAGGGTGGTGGGGGGGTTGGCAGCTTCTGCCCTGCGTTCACCTTGGGAGGGCATGGGGGGTGTGTGTTCCAGGATTTGCATGGGGTGGGGCGGGCGGCTGCTGCTGCGGGTTGGGGCCTGGGCTGTGCTGGGCTCTTCCCAGCAGGGGCTGGGCCAGGCTGTGCTCAGGGAGTGGAGGTTGCGGGGGCTGAAGCCACTCCAAAATTCACTGTAGCCCTCCCAGCACCGCCACCCCCCCTGAGCACAGCCTGGCCTAGCCCCCTCTGGGAAAAGCCTGGCACAGCCTCGGCCCCAGCCTGCAGCAGCAGCCCACCTGCCCTACGTGCAGACCCGAGGGCACACGTCCCCCATGCTCTCCCAGGGTGTGTGCAGTGGTGGGAGCCACCCTACACCCTCCAGACAAGCCGCAGCTGTGTCCTGCACCCAGCCCCTGCCTCAGCCCCAGCCCCACTCCCTCCCTCACCGCAGGGGCCTCTGTCTGCCCCAGCCCCCATGCCTCTTTCCTCCCCGCTCCCCTTCCACCACAACACACTTACTAGGGGGACGCAGCTCTTCTAGCTGCTGGGCTGTGTTCCTTGGTGCCTACATGCTGTGCACATGCATGGGGCCAGTTATCGGCCAAATGATCAGTCACATCAGGCAAAAAAAAGATGATTCCTGATACAGTCAATTTTCATTATACTGGTGCCAATCCAATATCGGACCGATGTATCAATGCACTTCTACTTATTATATGTTGCTGGAAGTTCTGGGAGCAGTCAGTTTAACATTGATAAACAAAAGAGATTGTGAATATTTGGTTTTAGAAAAGCAACAAAATATTCTTTTTCCTTCCCACAAAGGCATGCAGTTATTCTGCACAGTTGCTGCATTTCTGAAATGGTTTTGTGTTACAATGTTGAATTATGCCTCAAAAGTCAAAATTTGTGCTATATTCCTGTAGATTGCGCAGCACCAGAAAGTAAAGAGGAAAGAAACTTCTGGTATTTTCATCAGGATTTTAGCTAAAGCTTAATATAAGGGTCTTTCCACTGGCTTCAGTGGGCTTGGGACCATGCATAAGCTATAAGATGTTTAATTTGTTCATTCATCGCTGGTAGCGGGAAAAACAACCTTATAAAATTGTTTGAATTCTATGTTGTTTCACACCCAGAATCTTTTTGTTCTATTCTGTAGCTCTTCTTTATGCATCTTCTGCCTAATTTTGCTGAATGCTGGTGGGATCAAGTCATTTTGGACATCCTGCTATGTAACGGAGGTGGGATCTGGCTGGGCATGGTAGTTTGTCGTTTCTTGGAGATGAGGACCTATCACTGGGCAAGCTTCAAGTAGGTTCTAGAATAAAAGCCAATAAGCATGTTTGGTATTGCAGTGTACAATTCTGAATTTGTAGTTTCTCAGGAAATGGATTTTTTTTAATGCAAAAGTCTTGTTCTGTAGAAGTAGAGTGTAGTCATTGTATGTTTACAATGTTATAAAAATGATTGATAATGTTGGGGCACCATCTCTGTTTAATGCACATTTTTTCAATTATAATTGTTTAAAATTCTGCTTGTAATCAGATATGTGAGAGTTGATGACAAGAATACAAAATGATGGAAATGATTTGTCAATTTTAGTCTTTTATATCAGCAAAACATTGTTTGAAGAAAATGGAGAACCAGATGCACAGATACCTGAATTGTCTGTCCTGTTATAACCTTCTAATTGTAAAGGTTTGGCATGTCTTGCTCTAATGAGTGACACAGTAATAATGTCTAGCTTTTATAGTCTGTCAAATTCTGATTCCCTTCTATAGGGAGAGCTCTGTTAATATCTGTGGAATCGTTTGCAAAGCAGGCTAATATTCATTGTGAATAAGACAGAATCTGTTATGTAGTAAAAGTCATGCATAGATCCCAATAATCTAGTTTCTCCCACAATTTTACAGAGATGGTAAGTCTTTTTGTCCATGTCTTACAGATGGGAACTTGGAACACAAATAGTTTAAAAGTGCTTCTCCCAAAGTTGTTTGCAGTGAATTTGTCAGTGCTAATAAGAGAGCGCAAATCTACTACCCTTTAGTTTGAACATATATACTAAATCAATCTATCTCCTTTAGCTAGAGAAGTTTTGGTTCCCAGGAGGAGGCCTGGGATTATCTCAGTCCATCAGAGGTAGAGAAAGTATTGTAGATGTAGATATATTGTTCATGCTCCTTAGTTTGTGAAAGGATGCATTGCAGATGTAGATAGAGTACAGATGTATAGTATTATCCATTCAGGAAACTGTCTACAGTACTTTTTCCATTATCTTAGATTCATATGCACATTCCTAACATTGTAAATGACTTGGTTGTTTATGTAAAGGTGAATCGCAAAGGAAAGAATGTTCTTCGCTGCTTCTTTTGTGCTAAAGACAGCATCTCAAATTAAAATACCCCCCAACATATATGTGAACTGTCAAATCTAAGTTTTCCTGCTTCAGCTAGAGGTGCAAAAATCTAGAGTGGGATAGTGACATTGCCTAGGGCTGTATGTTGACGTCTAGCTCTCACAGCCATCATCTGGAAGAGAGATTAGGCAGCTTTCTCTGAGTTCACCCTTCCCCCTGATTGTTGCTTGCTTGAATTAAATAGGTGTTAATAAAACCATTGTAACCCAGACACAAGACTTTCCTTCTTCTCATATTTGGAAATATTAAATTTAGGGAGCTATATAAATGACGGCTAGTCCCATAGCTTGCACACTGCATACACTGCCATGTAAGGGGCCCAGACTGAGCCCAGTAATAGTTCAGCAAATGGCAGGAGTGCTGCCAAAGCGATGCAGTTGGGCCTGTGAAATAGGAGTCCTATATGCTTCTAAACAGAGAAAACTTTAAGGCAAGTACTTAAAGGATGGAGTCAGTAGAAGAATTGCCCTTTCCTTCTCCTTGATGAGGACAGTGAAGTTGTAGAGCAGGATGAAAATGGGGAATTTGCTAGGTCCATCATTTTAATAAAGTCCCTCTATTTTCTTTCCCCGAGGGAAAAAGGATAATACTTGAAAGTCACTAAATGTGGTCAGTTTCAATAGCGCTAGGAATGAAACTTCAGTGCTTTCCAATTTTTGCTTTTGCTGCTGACTTTTAAAGTCTATAGTTAGCTGGTTACAAAGAACACTGTTTTTTGTAGCAGATTGCCTCTTTATTGAAACACTGAATGAGTTCTGTCTCTTAACAACACCCTTCATTATAATGCAAAATCATATGCAAGCCTTTGCCCTTGCATAATCTAATGGGAAAAGAGTACTGTATCAGGACTTGTTATAGAACAGCTATAATGAGGTATCACATTTTTTCCTTGCCTCTTCCTTGTCTTTACTGTAGCCATTCTCTTCTTTCAGGGACATTCACACCACCACAGGGAAAATCAAAAGAGCTGTATTACAGTTCACTCCAGCTAGCTGGACCTATGTCCGCTGGTTTGACCCCAAGTCTTCATTTCAAAGAGTGGCTGGAATCTACCTTTTCATGATCATCTGGCAGGTAAAAAATAACTTATGTGAAATCAGAGCTTGCTTACTGAAATCACTTCACTTACTGGCTGTGTTAGGTTGGAAGATATTAAATTCTTATCTCAGTCCATCATTGAAATATTCAATTAAATGAATTGATACCAAAAACTAATCTGGATGCTATATGACTGAGTTAGACTATAGTTTAATTTAGGAGTGAAATTACAGAATCTGTGAAAGAAACAAATGGTTATAGATTGACATGTTGGCCATGTGGTTAGCTGCTGGAATGGAGAACTATAAGAAGTGAGGGACAAGTGTTTCCCAACCGCTGTAGATGTACTGGTATGATAATCAGAATTCTGGCCCTCATTCAACAAGCTTATCCCAGCATGCCTGACTTCAGGTGCATGAAGTTTTAGTAAGGCTGCTTATGTCCTCAAAGCTAAGAGCTTGCTGAAATACCTTACGTTATAAGTAAATTTAATAAAAACTACACAAGTGAAGTCAATGGAATATAATTTTCATGATGAGCCTGTTAACTGGCACTATTGTTGGATTACCTCAGGTATGCAAAAGCTGTATGCATGTTCTAAAGCAGGGATTTGAGGCACTTTAATATTACAATCAGCAGAGGTGGTTATTGCGCTGAAGTCCCTACAGGACTCTCCAGGTGCTTTTTGAACATTTTCTGAACAGTCTCTAGTGGGGAGTCCTGTGAGTTCTGTGTGCAGCTGTTTGTGACATAAAACCTTATTATCTGACTCTCTTTTAATTTTCAGCTGACTGAGTTGAACACTTTCTTTTTGAAACATATCTTTGTGTTCCAAGCAAGCCACTCTTTGAGTTGGGGCAGAATTCTTTTCATTGGAATTATCACAGCACCCACTGTAAGGTAATTTGTGGCTCTTTTTGGTGGTGAAGTAGGTCTGACTCAGGAACATACATAGAGCTTTGTAAATAAATATAATGTGAAAAATTATGTATTTGCCTCAAAGTACAAAATGATTATTATGTTTTTAGCTGTTAGTTATAAGATCAAGATCAAAATTCAGTTGTCTAGATGTATGCTCCTAGTGGTTCATATGGAAATCTACATTTGATTAACGATATGGGAATTATCTATGATTCTGTTTTGTCTACAAAGTAACTACCAGTGCTGTGGGGATTAGTGGCATATAAAGTCGTGTA